ATTGCAACATGACGCGAGTTGGCGTTATCGATATTTCATCTTCACACTTGGCAGAAATGGATCTCAGAATTGAAATCTTTGTACTCAAATTAGTCAATGCTGAAAAATTCATGATGTTTGGACAGTCAGGGCGCGAGTTACGGCGTTTTTAGCTGCTCAACAAATTCCATGCTGTGATATGCATGGCAAAATCTAAATATATAAACAACAGGGTTGGTGCAGGTCCATGAAGTCCTTGACTATAGAATTACTTTATGGTTTCCGTGTTTGGATGGCCTGATCCAAACACGCGGGAATGTTGCGAGAGTTAAGAAAAGCGAGCGAAATCACGAGCCGAAGGCGAGTGATTTTGCCCGCTTTTACGAGCCGAAGGCGAGTGATTTTGCCCGCTTTTCTTAACTCGAGCAACATTCCCAAGTGTTTGGATCAGTCCATCCAAACACGGAAACCATAAAGTAATTGTTTTATAAAATAACAACAACACGGTAGTCTTCCGTGTTTGGATGGCCTGATCCAAACACGGCTTTCGACCAATCAGAATACGCGTTATATACATGTTATTTTATAAAAGTGCTTAAATTGAAAAATCAATTTCAAGAGCACTTGAAAAGCCCTTGAAAATACAAAATCTGTTACAGTCAATTTCACAAAACGTTTGCCAAAATGTTCCAAATTTCGTTCTGAAGTTTGCAATAAAGTTCGTTTCGAAGTTCACGACTTCAGTATTGAAATTCACAAAGCGGTTTGTAAACAAAACCTCTGATTGGTCCATGAATTGAAAGTAGCCAATCAAATGCCTTGTTTACAATCCAGTTTGTGAACTTATACACTTTGGAACTTGTAAGACAATAAAAAGTCCTTGAAAACTTTCTATCAGTTAATTCCTTGAATAGTCCTCAACTTTTTTGTTGAGAACCTGCAATTTTCGGTAGACTAATTTGCAGGGCCGCCGCTATGGGTGACACCCCCTTGAAAACATCTTGTCGGCAAAATAACGGATTTATCGGTAAATTGTTTTCGTTAGTCAGAGAAAAAAATTTGATAAATTTACGAAAACATTACTGAAAAATTTAACAAATTACGGTACATTAACTCGAAAGTTAGCTTTGGGAAAAGAAATATTAATTAGCGACTGAAATGTTGTCGGGAAATGCGATACTACACCCCCCTGTTTTAGCCTCTTCGCGACGGCCCTGCTAATTTGAGTATGAAGGCACAGAATAGATAATTACACCAGAAGTCTCACTCAAGCAAATATGTGTACGTCCGCGTTTTTACAAGCGATCCTCATCAATTCACGCCATCTTGGCTAGTACGACCGGCACTTTGTACCTACCAAAACCTGATAAAAACGTCCGGTTGTACTAGCCAGGAACGGCATGAGCAAGTTAATTTTTTACGGACGAAAACATCAAAAGTTCCGACTCAAGTGAGACTTTTGGTGCAATTATCTATTCTGTGATGAAGATTTCAATTCAGAGATCCGTTTATGGCGGCAAAGGTCTGTAGACAAGCGAGATAGAAAATTGATGACGCTAACTCGGATCAGGAATGACTATATAATATATTATACAGTATAGTATAATATTTATGTGGTTGGTCTCCAGAAATCAATTATATCAATTCCCATATGCAATATCAGGAAACGGAAAATGTTTTCATCTTTCTGAGAACCTGGGTTTTCAGGATCAAAATTGTCTGCAAAAATTCACAATATAATATTATAGGGAAATCAGTGGACGGTTCCGGCAATTCTAAAATTGAGAAAATTCTGAAAGTTGAAAGTTAAATTTGCAGCAAATCTATCTTTCGACTCACATATTTCTTATCGATAACACAAAATTCCATATCCTTTTCGATGTCATAAATTATTTTAGAAAAATGTCTGAAAGCCCTACCTTATTTCTCATAAAAGGGTACCCTTTTTTGAGATTTGTGTTGTAAGGGAATTGGTTCGTTTTAATTACCCTTT